ATCCCAGCACTCAGGAGGCAGAGGCAGGCGGATCTCTGTGAGTTCGAGGCCAGCCTGGTCTACAAGAGCTAGTTCCAGGATAGGCACCAAAGCTACAGCGAAACCTTGTCTTGAAAAACAAAAAACAAAACAAAACAAAAAAGAATATGTCTTTGAGCAAGCATTTACTCCTAACTCTTCTCTTTATAACATCATCTTCATAGGGTGGACAAAACAGTTTCTTCCCAGTATCTAATTCTGTGAGTCTCAGTGCTCCCTTGCTCAGGCCTTCTCTAAAGTTTAGAAGTCCGTCTTCACAGGCAAGTCCCCGTACCTGCCCTCTTTAAAGATTCTCCATCTCAGGCTGACTCTCTTCTGGGAGTTGAGCTCAGCAGATCACTAGCTAGTGTCATGAAGACTTTGAGTCCCAGGCTCACCATCCAAACACATATTCAACACTTGAACTTTAGTGACATTAAACTCAGCACACCCAAAGCAACTCAAATTGTCCTTCTGACTTCCTAGTGAACAAAAGTTCTCTGAAGAAGCTATCTCCAAAGTAACATTCCTGTAGAGGGCTTGGCCTTGGTTGCTAGAACGTCACAATTCCTGTGATTCCAAAGAGAAGCAACATTGTAAGTCAAAAGTCAAACTTATCTTGAGATGTCTTAGCCTTTTAATAGCCAATTATCTTTTTTTTTATTTTACTTTATGTGAATTGGTGTGAAGGTATCAGATCTCCTAGAACTGGAGTTACAGACAGTTGTAAGCTCCCATGTGGTTGCTGGGAACTGAACCCAGTTCTAGCCAGGGCTCTTAACTGCTGAGCCATCTCTCCAGCCCCAATAGCCACTGATCTTAATTCTGTATCTTATCTAACATTCTGAGTATGAAACTTTTCATGGGCCAGCCATTGTAGTTCTCATCTGTGATCCCTAGTATATGATACATATAGAAACCCTACCCCAAAACGACAAAACAAGGGGCTAAGGAGATGGCTCAGTAGGTCAATCGTGCTAAGCATGTGAAAGCAAAAGGACCCATGTTCAAATCCTCAGCACCCACATAGAAGCCAGCCAGCCATTGCAGCGTGTCCCTGTTGGGGTCCCAGGCTCTGAATCAATACAAGGTTCCCGAAAAGCAAGGTTTAATGCAGGGCAGCACAAAAGGGGGAGTGGGGAGGAGGGACTGATCAATCAGGGTCACAGAACAGACTTGGGAGTTGATCTGTGATCCCAAATGCCAGTTGAAGCAAGTATTTAAGCATAAAAAAAATCATAAATGGGGCTGTAGAGATGGCTCAGAGGTTAAGAGAACTGATTGCTATTCCGGAGGTCCTGAGTTCAATTCCTAGCAACCACATGGTGGCTCACACCCATCTATAATGAGATCTGGTGCCAAGAACATTATATACATAACAAATAAATTTAAAAGAATAGTAAACGTGTGTTGCCAAGTTTCAGTTACAATTTTTCACCCATCAGACTTCAAAGATTAGGGGTTTTCCTAAAGTGTTCCCTCCCTGTCAATCGACATACAATGCAAGCTTTTCAGTTCAACCAATCAGATTCATTTGTTCTTTCTGTTAGGAACAGCTGTAATGTTTCCAGAGAACCAAAGGTACACAATGGCTATTTCTATGGTCTAAGAAGAAGGTGGGTCAGCTACTGGAAAGATCCCGACTCCCCTAGGGCTTGGGAACCTTAACTTTCACCCTCCAGGTAAAATGGAGTCTGAAGTCAAAATGGCAGCAATTTGGACAAGGTGCTTTGGGTCTGTTCCCGACTTCCCAACATCCCAACACTCAGGCAGCATTTAGGACAGACAGATTTCAACCAGATCTCAACATCCCCCATGATTAGCTAGGTGTTTAGTTTACTTTCTGTTGCTATGGGGTGGGGGAACACAAATCAGCTAGGGAGGAACGGGCTTAATAGGCTGACAGATCTCAATCACAGTCCGCCATGGAGGAAATCCAGGGACTCAAACACAGTTGGGACCTGGGGACTGGGCCTGAAGCAGAGGCCATGGAAGAACCCTGCTTTCTCACTTGCTTCCCATCAATCAGGAAAATCCCTCACAGCTTTGTCAAGAGGCAAACCTGATGGAGACATCTTGAGATTCCCTCTCCTCGGATGACCATAGTTTGTGTCAGGGTGACCTAACACCCAACAACTAACAAGCATACCACGGTAGCCAGAACAGCAAGCTTCGGGTTGGTTCAGAGACCCCATCTCAGAAAACAGGCTGTGCCCACCCACACACTCAATCCATAAGAAAAATTAAATCATGGCATTTGTAGAAGGTGAATGCAACTCGAAATCAAGTGTTAACACAAAGTAAAATAGAACAAATCCTGTGTGCTTTAGCTCAAATGAGATCTGTATGGCACAGACGTGTGTGTACAAACATCTCAGACTCTACCACGGGGCTTAGCCGACCTCTACCCCCTGGCAGCTAACTCCACAGCTGGGAATGCTCTGAGATGACATCTGAGAGGGGTTTGCCTGCTGTGCTGGAGCCCAGAGCTCTGATGGTCCACATTTATTGGTAAATGCATTGCTTTGTGCGTTTCAGCTCCTTACTGACTACAGAAATGTATGTAACCCCTTCTAGGGTTGAACGTGTCATTTAGGGAAATGGATCTGTGCTCCCTAGGCCATGGTAACTCATAAAAATGGCCCTGTAGGCCCATAGGGAGTGGCACTATTAGGAGGTGTGGCCCTCTTGGAGCAAGTGTCATTGGGGGCGGGCTTTGGGGTCTCAGATGCTCAAACCATGCCCAATGTGATCTGGATGTAGAAATCTCCTGCACGCCTGCGTCCCGCCACGGCAATAATGGATTTAACCTCTGAAATGTAAGCAGCCTCACTTAAATGTTTTCCTTTATTAGAATTGTGGTGGTCATGGTGTCTCTTCACAGCAATAAAACCCTGACTTAAGACAGTAGTTAAAAAAAGACATCTGGAAATGCCAGAGAATCGCTGACTTTACCAAGGACAGAACGACAACCATTTACTTTGAGGGTTTTAATTGGCTTCTGAGTGTAAAATTGGGTCATGTGTCAGACCACCAAACCGAGTGGCACTCCAGCGGGGCCGGGGCTTAGGAAAGGGGAAACAAGAAGCCCTCCCCCTATAAGGCAGATGGGGAAACGACAGAAGAGTCGGCATTAGGTCGCCTTTGTCTGTGCCTAAGGGGTGAGGCCGAGGCGGCTTCATACAGCTGTTTCTGGGAAAGTGGAACCAACAGCTTCAGTTTGTGGTGAGTGACTCCATTTTGGGGTTTAGCACAGAACCGTAAACCAAAATAATGACTTCCTGTTTATGTCTACTCAGCGCCCATATTCTTCACAGTGATGCTTCCACTCCTGAAGGTATTTTAAATTTTTTCTGAACATTTAAAAATTTCATTTTAAATTATTGTATATGTGTGTGCAGGAGTTGGGTATGCGCTTGTGAGTGCAGATGCCTGTGGAAGCCAGAAGAGGGTTTTGGGTCCAGAGGAACTGCAGTTGCAGGTGTGTGTCGCGGGAGGGGCGGCTGTGGAGGTGGGTGCCCGGAACTGATCTTGCGTCCACTACAAGAGCAGTGTCCACTTTTAACAGCGAATCCATTTTCTAGCCTTAAATCCCGCCACCAACCAGTGCGCTAAAATCCCCAGGAAGCGTTCTAGAGCTGGCACAGCGGCACATACCTGTCATTCTGGAAGAGGAAGGGTTTGAGGCCAGGTTGGAGAATAGTGGTCTCCGCCTTTAATCCCAGTGTGGAGAGGCAGAGGCAGGGGGATCACTCTGAGGCCAGTCTGGGCTGCACAAGACTTTGTCGACTTTGGTTTTGTTTCCTTTTTTTTTTTTGGTTCGTTGAGACAGGGTTTCTCTGTGTAGCTTTGGAGCCTGTCCTGGAACTCTGTACACCAGGCTGGCCTCGAATGTGAGTTCGATTGAGGTCCGGCTGCCTCTGCCTCCCGAGTGCAACCATTTAAGACAAGGTCTCACTCTGTAACCCTGGCTTTCCTGGAACCTGCTAAATAGAGAAGACTGGACTTGAACTCGCTGAGAACCACCTGCTTCTGGGATAAAGGCGGGTGCCACCATACCCAAGCTTGAGTGAGGGAGGGCAGGAGAGGGAGGGAGGGAGGGAGGGAGGGAGGGAGAGAGAGAGAGAGAGAGAGAGAGAGAGAGACTCTGCAGATGGCCAAGAATCATTCAGAAGCCCCCTTAGGGGTCAAAGTTAAGTTCAAGGTCTGAGTTAACTCATTAGAAAAACAAGGATAAATCGGCCAGTGTTCACCGAAAAAGCCGCTAAAGCACCGCTGTCCCAATCCTGTGAAAGCTTCGGTTTGAGGCCATATAGTAGGCTCAGGATCAAACTGAGCAGCTTTCCCCTGTAGTATCCTGGGCTCAACACACCTTTGTGGGGTGGGGTGGGGTGGGGTGGGGTGGGAGTCCCACCAGCTGAGTCGCAATATAATATGTACCTAACAAACCCTCATTGAAACAGCTTCCGGTTTCCCATGGCAAATTCTGGCTCAAGTCTACCTCGACTACCAGACTCGAGCGTGGGCAAACCGAAAGGCTCGGTTGGGCAGCGCCTGTGCACTTGGCTCTGACCCCGCCAGGCGCTAGGAGGGCGTGACGCTGCCCTCACGTCTCCTCCCCGTCCTTTGGCCTCCGAGAATCGCGCAACGACTCCCACGTATTCGGTTGGATTTCGGTCGAATCCTGATCGGCAAGGAACGCGAACCGGACCCCAAGGAGGCCCCGGGGCGGACGAAGCGGTGAGCCGAGGATGCGCGGGTTGGGATGCAGCCCGGAGGATGCGCGGGGAAGCCTGAGCTAACGCTGCCAGAGGGATCCGAAGCGGGCGGACGGGCGGGCGAGCCGGCGGCGGGAGGGTGGCCGCCGGGGCGCGGTCGCGGATCCGGGTAGCCGCCGGGCGGCCACATCAGCGGCGCTCGGAGGGCTCGGCCGGCTGCGCGCGTGCGCAGGGCGGGGCGGGGCGCGCGAGAGGCCGCGGGCGTCGGGCGGCTGTCATCGGTGGCGAGGAGGCGCGGCGGGTCCACGGGGCTGGGCCGGGAGGACTGACTCCGGGGGCGTCGCCGCGCTGAGGCTCGGTGCGGGCGGCCGAGGAGGGAGCCGTAGCTAGGTGTCCGAAGGGCGGCTGTGCTGCCTGCCGGGCGCTAGAGCCCAGGCCGGCGGGACCCGAGGCCGCCCCGATTCTCCCAACCCTGCTCGCCGCTGCCCTCGGGCTCCGCGCCCGGCTCCGCAGGCCGCGGTGACCGGCGGCGCGCGCCCAGGGATGGAGGAAGGTGAGCTCGGATGCAGATGCTGGGAGGCGGCTATGCTCACCCCTGGAGCCTGCGGCGGGGCTCCGCAGCGTCCCACCCCGTTCTTGGTTATACGAAAGTACAATACGTTTCAATTTGAGAAGCCTCGGGGTCCATTTATGGCGAGAGCCTGCATGTTTGTATGTGTTACTTGCATTAGGTATATTACACCTATGTCTTCTTTTTTGTAAATGGGCATTTAGGTTGACCTATACATCAAGTGGCTTTTTCTAGATTTGCAAGTGCCACCACTATCCAGATTTTTTATTTTTATTTTTGTAATCTCCAAAAGAAACCCCGTACCTGTACCTGTTAGTTGCAATCCATACTCTCGCTATACCATTGGCAACCACTAGCCTTTCTGTTCCTATGCATTCACCCTTTGGGGACGCTAATGAAATCATACGGTATTTGTGGTTCCCCATCTCCTCCGTTTAAAGACAAGATTTTGGCTCTTCCCTTAAGGGGAGCAGTCTTGCTGTATAGTTCAGGCTAATCTGAATTTGCGGTCGTCTTGCCTCAACTTCCCAAGTGGTGAGATCACAGGCTTTTGCCACACCCAGCTAATGTGTATGTGTGTTTTGTCTGACTTCCTTCACTTAGCCTCATGTTTTCAAAGCTCGTTCATGTAGCTAGTGTGTGTGTGTCTGTTCTGTACTTTCTTGTAGTTGAATGAATATTTGGATGTGGTCACTACCAGTCCATTCACTAGTTAATGAAATTGCATGTTAAAACTTTTTTAGCCATTAGATATAATGCGGCTACAACATTTGTGGATGTGTGTTTTCAGTACCCCTGGATGCATACCTAGGCGTGGAGTTGCTCAGCGCTTAACTTTTTAAGGAAACTTTTAGGCTTTTATCAAAGCTGTTGCAGTGTTTTATACTCCCACCAAATACTGTGTGAGAGTTGCCATTGCCTTAAATTAACACTTGTCATTTTTGTTTATTTATTTTTTTTAGCCTCTGTAGTTGGTGTAATATCAGATTGTGGTTTTTTGTTTTTTGGGTTTTTTTTTTTCAAGTTAGGCTTTCTCTGTAGCTTTGGAGCCTGTCCTGGAACTAGCTCTTAGAGACTGGGCTGGCCTTGAACTCTGCTTTTAAAGGCGTGCCACGACTGCCTGGATGTACCTCATTGTGGTTTTAATTTGCTTTTCTTACCAGGAATTAAAACTATTTTTACTCCAGACAGTGGTGGTACCCGCCTTTAATCCCAGCACTTGGGAGGCAGAGGCAGGCAGATCTCTGTGAGTTTGAGGCCAGCCTGGTCTATGGAGAGAGTTCCAGGACAGCCAGAGCTGTTACACAGAGAAACCCTGTCTCGAAAAAAAGAAAAAAAGTCTTTCCTATGCTTACTGGCCAAGTGTGTATCTGTTTTGAAGAAATGTTTGATGAGATCCTTTGCCCCTAGTTTTGCTTTTTGTTCTTTTCTTTTTGTTGCCATGGTTGTGGCCAAGCCAGCCGCAATTAAATGTTTATTCATATATAGGAAAAAGTCTAGATTTTAGATTGGTACTGGTCAAACTTGTGTAAAAATCTACTAAGTGGTATGTGAATCTTTCAGAAAACGCTTTACCTGGTAATTCTTGGGCATTTTATTGTCCTTTTTTGTTTTTAGTTTTTGGCTTTCTTGAAAAAAGTCACAGGAGGTGTGGTACTGGGGTTCTGATGAGATTTTAATTGCTGTTTTCCTATATCCTGTGTTAATTTGAGAAAGTTTCACTTACTAACTACAAGTAATTTATGCTGAATAATGATCAAGTTATTCAAACAAAACTTCATGTGTGTCTCAGTCCAGTGAAATGTCTTTTTTCCACGTTCAGTCTGTATAGTTTCTTTTGCAATTATAATACATGTGAATGCTAGATAATTTGTTTGCTTTTCTTTTTTGGTTTTTTTTTTTTTTTTGGTTTTTTTTTGGTTTTTCGAGACAGGGTTTCTCTGTGGTTTTGGAGCCTGTCCTGGAACTAGCTCTGTAGACCAGGCTGGTTTCAAACTCAACAGAGATCCGCCTGCCTCTGTCTCCCGAGTGCTAGGATTAAAGGCGTGTGCCACCACCGCCCGACTTGTTTGCTTTTTTGAGGTAGAGTCTCTCTCATTCTGTTGAACAAGCTGGCCTTGAACATACAGCAATCCTCCTGCCTCTGCTTTCCAAGTGCTGGGATTCCAGGCGTGCACTGTCACACACCAGGTGAAACACACCGTGCCGGCCCGGAGGTTAAGAGCCACCTGGAACTGAAAGACCGTGCCTGTGCTTTCTGCATGGTCGATCCCTGAGTGTACAGATTCAGCCTCAGGTCTTCCTTTAAAAAATTCCTAAAAGAGATGACATTTCTCCAAACTCAAGTTCTTTTGTTTCCCAATTGCCGCTAAAGAAAAAAATTATTGAAACTTTCTGTAGGTGAAGAAGAAGTATATTCAAACCATTGTAGCCATGACAATGGGTTTGGCACTGAGGATTGGGATTAATCCTGAATGGGGTGTGGCTAAGCAGGAATTTGTAGGGAAAGAGCAGGGGCAGGGGCAGTGGATAGATTGGTAAGAGGAAGAGGGCCCAGCGAGGGGGACTCTGGGTAAGTCATCTTAAAGACAAGCCTGGGCTCTGGGACGCTGTGGTGAAGGATACTGTGGAGATGGACCCACCTCCATCTCGTACCTGGGGAGGGCTTTCTAATTAAACTGACTTGGCAAGGTTCTTTGCTAAGGACGAAATTTGTGAGCTGTCTGGGAGACTCAGGAAACTGAATAGTTTGGTTATGCAGGGATTCTGTTACTGCTGAAACAGATGCTACCCCATTTCAGGAACTTTCTAGAAAAGAAGGTTATAGATTTCTAAGGCGGAATAACGGAGAGCCACGGATGAGAAGGGCGTGAGGGACAGCCCGATCCTGTTCCTCAACCTATAACTTAGAGAGCAGATAATCTTTAACTGTTTTATGCTTCACTGCCTTTGGGAGGAACCAGCTGACAATGTCAATATGTAACCTCCATGTTTTCGCTTTGATTGACCTAACGAGCTTAACACTGGACGTATAAGCATCGATCTGTTATTGACTGTTCCCCACACGCCCAGTAGATGCTCCCCCCGCTGCTCCTTGCAGTTCCAATACCACTTGTTGAGAGAGGTTCTCCTTAGGCTGGGCATGGTGGTACATGCCTGTGACTTCAGCATTGGATCTCTGGTGAGTTTAAGGTCAGCCAGAGTTACCTAGTGAAACCTGTTACAAAGAAAACCCCCAAACCAAATTGTCTGGAAGTAGGTGGCAATGAAAACTGACAGGTTTGGGGGAATCGATCCCTGGTTGGTTTTGTTTTTGAGACAGGGTCTCTCTTATGTTACTCTGGCTATCTGGAACTGGGTGTGTAGACCAGGGCTCCTAGAACTCACTTTGTAGACCAGGCTGGCCTTGAACCCCCAAAGATTCACCTGCCTTCTTCCTAATGCTGGGATTAAAGGTACACACCACCACTTATACCTCAGCCCCCGGGAAATGATGGTCTGAGTTCACTTTTTATGTAGTGGACTTCTAGGGACCCTCTCATCTCTGTGAAATTACTGTAGTTAAGTTTATTTACCTTAAATATACATAAAAACGAATATAGATAATCTCTGTATACATGTATAATGTATGGTGTGTGTATAGATATGCATATAGGAATGGGTAGGATGGTCTATTTTGATTTTTAAATGTTTATATTTAAGAGTGTTTTGCTTGCAGGTGTGCATGCATCACACGCATGCCTGGTGCCTGCAGGGATGGATACCCTCGTGGTTGTGAGCAGCCACAAGGGTCCTCGGAAAGCTACTAACCACCAAGCCGTCTCTCTGGCTCCGTCTATTTTAATTTTAATGTGGGTGGATTTAGTCACATTCCTTTCTTCATGACCAGGTACTAAGGAAATAGGAACTTTGAGTTAAGGAGGGACAGAAGACTGTCATAGCCAGGCATGGAAAGCAGAGGCAGGAGGATCGCTCTGAATTTGAGGTCAGCCTGGTCTGTGTAGTGAGTTCAAGGATAGCCGGGCTATGTTAGAGAGATCCTGTCTCAAACAAGAAACAAGAAACAAAGAAAAGAAAATTAAAATTAGAGAAATAATGTTCTAGAGACTTGGATAAAACCTGCTGTATTTCAGGAATCATAGTTTGGAAGACGAAGAGAAAAGCAGGAATGAGTGGAAGATAAGATTGTAGTGACTCCAAAAAATTGTCCAGGTAGAGAAGTGGGAGGCCCTTCTTTCCTAATTCAGTTCTCGTTCTTTCTCCCAAGGGCTAGTCACTATTTTACTCTTTTCAATATATATTCTTTTTTTTTTTTTTTTTTTTTGGTTTTTCGAGACAGGGTTTCTCTGTGGTTTTGGAGCCTGTCCTGGAACTAGCTCTTGTAGACCAGGCTGATCTCGAACTCACAGAGATCCGCCTGCCTCTGCCTCCCAAGTGCTGGGATTAAAGGCGTGCGCCACCACCGCCCAGCTTTTAATATATATTCTTAAAGACTTATTTTTGACTAGGCTCAGAAATAGAAGATCCCAGTGAGACAGCCTATGTCTCCTGGTAATCTGTTCCTGGTGTTCGTTCTTATTCTGTCTCTGTCTCTGTCTCTGTCTCTGTCTCTGTCTCTCTCTCTCTCTTAATATAGGTTTTCTCTATGTAGCCCTGGCTGTCTTAGAACTCACTCTGTAGACCAGGCTGACCTCAAACTCACAGAGATCCACCTGCCTCTGCCCCCTGAGTGTGGTGGTATTAAAGCCGTACGCCGCCACTGCCTGGCTTTCCTTCATTCTCTTGGCCATAGTTTAGTGTATTCTTCAGCCTCCTCCTTGTTTTTCTCAGTGTGTTGTTTCTCCAGAGCAATATGTAAGTGTTTGTGTTGCAGGATACTGGAAGAAACAGAACCCCGAATCTTGGGTGCTGTGATCTAGGCTTCTTACTTTCTTTATTTAAGGGCTTCCTGACAACATATTGGCAGACATCTTCAGAGAGAC